GGGCAAAGCTGGAAAAGTACCTGTGTGGATATTATGCTAGAAACACCAGCATGAACGTGACGTTGGTTCACATGGTCTCAAATGTCCCTTCATGTTTCAATATTCTCTAATCCCAAGATTGTGAAGCCAAATTTTCCAAAGTTAGTCTGGGAGGTCCCTAGTCCTGTGAGAAGCTCTACCAAGGCAAAGAAAGGACCTCGTGTCAAAGTCTGACTGAGAACCGCTGCTTGCTGTCTCCCCACAGAGAATCACAGTGCACATCACACAGTCAAAACACTGAGAAATCTCACAGCGAAGGAAAGCCAGGCTTTGCCTACACACATTTGACCTAGGAACCCCCTTCTTCTCCATAATATATATTATTATCTACCCGAACTGATGTTCTAGAGACAACACACAGACAAAAGAAACTAGCATGAGTGTAGTATCTCTGTCCCCATTTAAGTGATCCCGTAGGACAAAAATCCAAGTCACTGTCCCAGGTGAGAGTCCCACCATTTAAAAAGGTGAGCGTGGAGATCTGAGGCCACGAGGGAGGCCCTCGTTACCTTGGGCAGGTGGTATCCAGCCAGCGTGGTGTCCACTGTCACCTCCCTGGGCACGTTCAGGGGGATGATGTTGCCCATCCTCTGCACCTCGTGGATGACAGCGTTGGTGTAGGGCATGGACTCCCGAGCTGCCGTGCTCGGCTGCTGCCACTGGCCAAGCACCCTGTCGATCTCAGCCTGAACTTTTTCTGAAAAAGCAGAGAAAGTCCTATTATTCTAGTATTCATTACCCTCCTTGAGCCTGGTTCAGCTAAGGAATGAAGTAACCAGGATCAAAACGGCTAGAGTTATAGCAGGCTGTGTAGATGGTAGCTTCTCAGGGAGGTACCTGAGTGCAAAGTGGGCCCTGGTTTAAGACAAATCTGGTTGCAATTCTTGCTGCTCAGTATTCCTGGTGCAAGTTACTGAAACTCAATTTCCTCTTCTTATTAGTGAGGATAAATCTACTTTCATCTTTAGGATGTTTTGAGATTTACATCAACTGATTTAGGGGAGTGTGACACATTTAAGAAAAACCCGCTAATTGTGCTCCACTAAAGGTTTTTCTTTTTCTAGGGTAATAGAAATTTTAGCTGGATATCTGGTTCCCCAGCTAAAAACTCCATTTCCCAGATTCCCTTGTGACTATGTTGTAGAAAAAAAGAATATATGTAGAGGGATGTTTACACTGCAAACATTCCCTTAAAGTTAAGGTTGCTTTTCTCTTCCCTTTCTATTGGTGGAAACGCAGACTTATTGGTGAGACATCTTTGTGACCGCCAAAAAGAGCATCATTCTATACACAGCAGAGCAACACATTAGACAGCTTGGAACCCAAAGGTTTCTGCACTATCCAGCTTAGGATATTTCACTTGAGAGAAAAATAAACTATAATTTTTTATAGACATTAGAAAACTTTAAAAATTGTGATAAAATACACAATATAAAATTTAACATCATAAGCATTTTACATGTACAGATTAAGAATGTTAAGTACATTCACCTTGTTGTACAACCAATCACTTTATTTTCTTGCAAAATTGAAACTCTGCATCCATTCAGTGAAAATGTCTCATGTTCCCCACCCCCAGCTTCTGACACCCACCATTTTACTTCTACTTTCTATGAATTCACCAAATCCTGACACCTCCTATACATAGAAACATACAGTATGTGTCCTTTTTTGATTGGTTTAATTTGACGTCATGTCCTCAGGGTTCATCCATATGAAATCATCTGTCAGGATATTTCCATTTTAAGGCCAAATAATATTACACTGCATGTCCCAATTTGTTCATTTACCCATTAACCTGTGTTGCTTCCCCTTCTGTCATTTAAGCCATTGGTATTTTGGAATCTCTAATAGAGAAGCCATATCTAGATCCTAACTAGCTTTTAAACTTAAAACAAAAACAAAAACAAAAACCCTGTGATTCACAATTACAAATACATTGTACACCATGACTCAGGACACAGGAGTAAAAATATACACACATGTACAGTATACACTTATGCATATATAAGGTAAGAAATGAGAATTTCATGAAAAATACTTGTCTGTAGTACACTGGAAGCACTCTGATTTTTCCATTTGTTTTAATTGAAGGAAAAAGTTAATCTTGATCCACTAAATTGACTCTATGTTCTTTTATCAAACTATTACCGAGTTTAAAACCCTGTACCCCAACAGTGTTTATCCTTCATGTGCACAAAGTGTTCTGGGGTCTTGAGAAAGCAAAACGATGGTACCAGTCACTGTTCTGCAATGAGCTACAGCCTGTGGGGAGATATGTAGATAATGCTCAAAAAGCAAAGTGATGGAGGTGCACGTGGTTGTCCCCAAAGGAAGAAACGCTAGTGGTTTCCTAGAGAGCGGGGAGACATCTGAGTGGGGTGTGTGTCTGAGTAGATTCTTTAAGCATAGCTAGTGGTCTACCGTGTAGAGAAATTAGGGAAGTACTTCCCTGTGTTATTCTTCTAGGGAGGAGCAGGTGTGACGGCACAGAGGCGTAAATTAGGACGGTGTAATGAAAACCACGTCATTCAGTGAGGCGCTGGGTGAGTAGGGTTGAGGTTGAACAGGCAGGAGGGGGCACATCAGAGGGCAGGATACACCAGACCCAGGAGTCTGAACATCATCCACAGGGCAGTGGAAGACATGACTTAAAGGAGGGAAGGTGAGGACCAGCTTTCACATGTGAATGGACTGTAACTCTTTCTGGGAACTCACCAAGATGTCCATGGACTTCACTGTTTTCCCCACTAGACTGGCAATTTCCTGAGAGCAGGGACTCTCTGTTATGTTTGTAGTATGTGGACCCATCACAGTTCCGACTGTAAAACTGAAGAATGTTCCCATTCTTCAGTCAACCACGTGCTGTGTAT